GCGTATTAATTACGCGGTTTCTCTACTTCGAGGCGCAGCGCTTGAATGGTGGTGCCACACCTTGGACACAGGGACTCCGACAGGTGTGACACATGCGGCAGACGGGACCTTGACATCGGCTAATCAAGGGGCAACCTCAATCTTCGGAGTGACCAAGATACGCACGTGGAAGGAGTGGGGCGCAGCCTTACGGGATCGCTTCGAGCACGTATCCGCTTCGGAGCAAGCTCGCATGAAGCTGCGTAACTGGTCGCAGATGGCATCTGTTCAAGACTACACGGCGTCGTTTATGGCCTTTGCTGACCAAGTGGATGACATGGCGGAAGCAGAGCGGTTAGATAAATACATCGGCGGCCTGAAATATGAGATACAGTACGAGGTGCGCCGATGCCGCCCGACTTCGTTTCTGGAAGCCATACGGTTAGCTGAGTCTACAGACGCGTTGATGCAGTATGCGAGGGCAGGTTCCCGGGAGGGAATCCGTTTTCGTGGACAGACCCAACGGGCCCCAATCAACGGAGTCCACGCACCGGACCGCCCCTTTACAGGGACGTGTTTTAAGTGTGAGAAGACGGGTCACTACGCAAGAGAATGCCCCGAGAAAACACCGGCGAAGGGGAACGACAGGAGGGAGCAGGGAAATGGGAAGAGTCAGTAATTTACGGGCCCCTTACTGACTATGCTTCGTCGCCCGAACACCAACATCCCCACCGAGTAGTGGTTCCGATTCATGCAATCGATCGCACTCGGCCGAATAACGGGGATAATCATGTGGATCACCCTGTGCTGGTCGTTGGCACAGTGTTAAAAAGTACTCTGAAAATGTTCGTCGACGGAGGGGCCAGCCATAGCCTCTTCAACTTGGCGACAGCAAAAAAATGCAAGCTGCAACTTGACAGGTGTCTGCCCGAAACTGACGCTCGCCTCTGGCAATTTTGGAAGAAACACGGACGGTGAGGATTGAGTGCGGCGACATTTTCGGCTTCAGCATGAAGTTTCTCGCGACGACTCTGGATGGCTGCGACGTGCTGCTGGGACGTGATTGGCTGCGACGGCACAACCCCGTCATCGACTGGACAACGGGATCGTGCTGCATCAACAAGCACGAGGGGCTAGTTAAACTGCCTGCATGGACACCTGACTACATCCAAGCCCCGTGCGTCAAAGCTATCACTATAGCTCGCCACTTCAACAAGGGCGCGCAGCTGTACGCTGTATGCTTACGCGAGTTGGCAACCGACACCGACGGACAAGACATCGAGAAGCTGTGTGCAGCCGTACCGCCAGATTTAGCGGAACTGTTACGACAGTACCCGGACATCTTCCCCGACGACCTGCCACCTGGACTACCACCCGAACGACCCGAGGACCACAAAATACAGCTGGAACTTGGCACGCAACCGACTGTTCGTACACAGTGGCGGTTGACCCAACCGGAACTCGAGGAGCTGCGAAGCCAACTTGATGGCTTGTTGGAGAAGGGGTTTATCAGACCCGGTACGTCTCCCTACGCGGCCCCGATCCTGTTCACCCCGAAAAAGGACGGTGGGCTTCGCATGTGTATTGATTATCGCGCGCTCAACCGGGTTACAATCAAGTCTCGCTACCCAATCCCACGTACCGACGACCTCCTCGACCAACTTCGCGGCGCTCGCTATTTCTCCAAAATCGACTTACGTGGCGGTTACCACCAGATACGGGTCTTCGCAGAAGATCGTTACAAGACCGCGTTCCGCACCCGCTACGGAAGCTACGAATTCCAAGTGATGCCGTTCGGCCTCACAAACGCGCCGTCGACTTTTCAACTAACCATGAACCGAGTTTTCAGGGAATTTCTTGACAAGTCTGTTATCGTCTACTTGGACGATATTTTGATTTTCAACAGGACAAGAGAACAACACCTCCGCGACCTCGACGCGATTTTTCAGCGACTACAGGAGAATCGCCTCATCACCAAAGGCTCTAAGTGCGAGTTTTTTAAGCAAGAGTTTGAATTTTTGGGACACGTCATCTCCCGCGACGGCATAAAAATCGACCCGGCGAAAATCAAGGCTATACAGGAGTGGAAGTCCCCGACTAACATCACGGAACTTCAGAGTTTTCTGGGGTTCGTGAATTATGTCAGGAGGTTTATCCCGAATATGGCAGGGATAACCGGCCCGCTGACCGACCTGCTGCACAAGGACATCAATTTTGTGTGGGGGGGGGAAGCAGAGGCGGCTTTTCAGGAACTGAATATTTTTCTGGTATCCCCTCCGGTTCTACGCATCGCCGATCCATCGAAGTCGTTCGAAGTCATCACCGACGCCTCAGATTTCGCCATCGGAGCTGTACTCCTCCAGGATTTCGGAGACGGGCTGCAGCCGATTGCCTACGAATCACGCAAGCTGCAGTCTGCCGAGCGCAACTACCCGATACACGACAAGGAGATGCTCGCAATTATACATGCGTTCAAACTATGGCGCTGCTACTTGGTGGGCGCCGACGTCACTGTTCGCACGGACCACAAGTCCCTACAGTACCTGCGAGCTCAGCCCAACCTCAACCCGCGACAAGTTCGTTGGCTCGATTACATGGAGAGCCACTTCACCTACCGCATCACGTACAAGAAAGGGGCGAATAACATCGCCGACGCCCTGACCCGACCAACAGTTCAATCCGCTGCAGTACTCATCACCCACTCGAACCCACTACTTACGGGACTATTCACCCACGGCTACACTACGGACCCGTACTTCACGACTGGAAATCACCAGCAGGCAACGACGCAAAAGGGGAACTATTACCTAAAGGCCGAAACTGACCGGATTTGGGTTCCCGCTTACCGGCTGCTGCGTGAACTCCTTATCCAAGAGGTCCACGATTCAAACCTCTCCGGACATTTCGGGGTTGATAAAACCCAGAAACTGTTGCACCGTCTATATTACTGGCCTGATTCCTCTAACGACGTGCAGCGATATGTGTCCTCATGCAGGGTGTGCCAAGCCATGAAATCGACACGACAGCGGCCAGCTGGATTGCTGCAACCACTGGAGCCACCCGAGCGACCATGGCAACAGGTGGCGATGGACTTCGTCACGGGGCTGCCAGCTGGGCCATCCGGGAACGACGCGGTACTCGTCGTCGTCGATCGCTTCACGAAGATGGCACACTTCGCACCGTGTCGTACAACAATCACAGCCGAAGAAACTGCGCGCCTCTTCATCTCAACCGTCGTGCGACAGCACGGAATCCCGTCAGCGATCGTTAGCGACAGGGACCCAAAGTTCACTTCAAGATTTTGGAAGGAAACGTGGGCGCAGTACGGAACAAAGCTACAGTTTTCATCGGCATACCATCCGCAAACCGACGGACAGACCGAGCGAACGAATCAGACGATGGAGCAGCTGATCAGGACAAACTGCCCCGACCCAACTCGCTGGGAAATGTCACTCGCCATGCTGGAGTTCGCGTTCAACAACGCACCGTCCAGCACGACTAATCACTCCCCGTTCTTCCTGAATTATGGGATGGACCCGGTGGTACCAACCACCACGACACTCGACAACCCGGTCCCACGGTCACAAACATTTGTGACAGAACTTCAAGAGATCCGCGAGAAAGCAGCCGACGCTATTCGCAAGGCGAATATTACTGCCTGGAAATACTCGGATCTTCTACGACGAGAAATCGTCATGACGCCTGGGCAACTAGTGCTACTCGACACGAAAAACCTACGCTTGCCCGGCTCGAACAAACTACGGCCACGATTTTGTGGGCCCTTCCGCATCATCCAGATGGTGACACCTGTCACTGCGAAGCTGCTACTACCCGACGACTGGCGTATACACGACGCCTTCCATGTCAGCCTCCTTCGCAACTTCGTGCCTGCCACGACAGACATCGCGCGCCAGAACGCCGCCCCGACAGCTCGACCTGTCCCGGAACCGACCACCGACCCCTCGAAGATTCTCGGACATCGGATCCGGCTGAACGCCACTGGACGCCACGTGGACTTTCTAGTCCGATGGACTGACCGCACCAGTGAGGACGACACGTGGGTGCCATCCGCATCGCTTGAAGCTTCCCCGCTTCTTTGTGATTATTTCGCCCGCAAGCGAGTTGCGGATATTGACCACCTTGCTTAAGGGGGGGGGTAGTGTAAGGATTTTTCCCTTATCCTTACCGGGGTTTACTGCTACGCGTACAACCCCGATTTTCGGACTTGCACGTTCGGCCGACATCAACGATGCCGAGGCTCCTCCGCGTCGCCTTCGGCTTTCCGTCGCCAAACCTGCACCTAACCTCGTTTCCCAAGGTTCCCTCCTAGCTAGGGTATTCACTATATAGTCGCGTGCCTTCGTTGTAATTGACAGTTCATTAAGTCACAGCTTCGTTATTCGTTATTCCGCGCACTCTCCATTACAACTCATAAAAGAGAACTTCCAAGCTTTAAGTTACACTGATTACAGTCAATGATTGAGGATTTCCATGCGTCCACTGATGCAGGTTTGCTGCTCCAAGGTTTGTTTGATTCTGCTCACGCGGCAGGCCTGTGGGCACTGTAGCAGATCTGGTTACTGGACGCGCGATATACGTGTCAGACGACCGACCAAGTGGAGGTGTCGTGTAGTCTCGTAAAGCTCCCTCCCTCTCAACTACCCTTCGTGACAACAACCCTCCGTTTCGTTGTCCTTCCGCTTACCTCAGCAGCAGGCAAGGCAACAGGCATCAAACTAGTGTTTCTTGTTAGATTAATTTCTTGGCGTTCGTTTCGCCTCTCACATCCTCTCCGCCGCAGCCGGCTCTGCGACTTCCACGCTCAGCGATGCCCTGTAAACGCCGAAGTAAGCGCTTATGCTGAACGATACTACCCGCGTGTCCGCCTCCCAGGTCCCCCAATTACGGCGCTGACTTTACCGAATAGGATGACACTACTAGCGACGCAGCAACGGCGAGCCAGCGGCTGACGGCCGTCAGCGGAGCGGTTTCGCGATTCGATCTGCGCTTCCCGCGCCGTCATGTCGGCGTCGCGCACAGCGAGGCGGGGCGGCGCGCGGCAGGAGGAGAGCTCGAGCCGGGATGCCGGGGGAGGGAGGGGGGGACGACGGGGAAGGGGCGCGCGAGGGCGTGGGCAAGGCCGAAGCAGCAGCAGCAGCGCGCGGGGCGCTGGCAGGGGCGGCAGGACGGACGATGACGGTCCGGTGACCGCGGAGCAGATACTGCTGGGGGGGAAGGCGCTGGGACAGGCGCTTGCGGGCAGAGGTCGGGGGAGAGGCGGAAGCGGAGGGAGGGCGCGGGGCGGAAGGGGTGGGGGAAGGGGAGTGGCGGAGAAGAGAGGCAGGGGCAGTCTTGAGGGGAAGGAACGGGAGGGGGAGATGGAGGGAAGGGGGCGTGGGAGGGGGGGAAGAGGAAGAGGAAGGAGCAGAGGAAGGGGCAGAGGCAGGGGTGCAGTAAGGGGTAGGGGCAGGGGCGTGGGGAGGGGAAGGGGAAGGGTGATGGAAAGGGGAAGGGGACGGGGAAGGGGACGGGGAAGGGGACGGGGAAGGAGCACCGGTCGGCGAGAGAGTGTTGAAGAAGACTCTGATTCAGATGAAGATGAGGAGGAGGAGGAGAGCGAGGAGGAAAACGAGGATGAGGATGAGGAGGAGGAGAGCGAGGAGGAAAACGAGGAGGATGATGAGGAGGAGGAGGAGGAGGATGAGGAGGAGGAGGATGAAAAAGAGGAGGAGAAAGAGGAGGAGGAGGAGGATGAGGAGGAAGAGGAGGAGGAGGAGGATGAGGAGGAGGATGAGGAGGAGGAGGAGGGAGAGGGGGAAGAAGAGGAAAAGGAGGAGGAGAAGGAGGGGGAGGAAGACCATGCCGTGAGAAAAAATGGCAAGGATGGCAAGACGGGGCGAGAAGAGTGCGAAAAAAGGGAGGTGGCGAGGGAGCAGCAGGGCGAATGTGCGCGTGGCGTGCTTGGGGGTGAGATGCCGCCGCATGGGCAGCATGGTGCTGCTGCTGAGGGGCCGGCCGCTGCCCCTGGGCGCGCACTGGCAGGCGCAGGCGGGATTGTGAAGAGGGAAGACGGGCATGGGGGGGAAGGCGCAGAGGAGGAGGAGGAGAACGAGGTGGAGACGGGAGCAGGGGAAGTGAAGGGGCATGGCGATTCAGTTGGAGACGCGGAAGAGAGGGATGAGAAGAAGAGGACGGCGGGTGGTGTGGGTGCGAGCGGGTATAGGCGAGGCAGGAGGGGGTCTCAGCCTGTTGCTGGTCGGCGTGACGCGGAGACCCAGCAAAGGGTGGAAACTGGGATACTGAAGTGTGGGGAAGGAGAGGGGGGACATAGAGAGGATGAGGAGGAGGGGGCGGAGGAGGAGGGGGAGGAGGAGAGTGGCTGTGTGGTGCGTTCGAAGGAGGGGAGTGGCGGTGGTGGGAAGGCAGTGGTGAGCGCTGTGAAGATAAAGCTGGGAAGGTTCAGTGCGAGGGAGGAGGACGAAGAGAGGGGGGTCGTGGGAGGTGCAGACGGGGGGGTGGGTGGCAGCGGTGGTGTGAAGGAGGTTGGTGCGAGGGTGGTTCGAGGAGAGCAGGGTGCTGACAGTGCCACCGCACATGGTGCTGCTGCTGCTGCCACTACTGCTGCAGAATCATCAGCAGCAGCAGCAGCAGCAGCAGTCGATGCAGCAGGTGCGCATGCAAGCGTGAGGGTGAGGGTGCCGAAGCTGTGTGGCTGGAGCGACATTCTGCAGCGGTCAACGCGAGTGACCCGCGTTGGCAAGGGCAGCAGGCCTCGTGCGCTGGGAGCTGTGGCGCGCGCATGCAAAGGGCCGTGGGAAGCGTATGATCTGCCCTCGCCCCGCCCTGCCGCTTCTGCTGATGGCGCTGCTGGTGAGGAGGAGGGCGCATGCGCTGGTGGGGCGACGGGAGAGGTGAAAGCCGAGGGGGATGCGGAGGGGTTTGGAGAGGTGAAAAAAGAGGCGAGTGCAGAAGGGAATGGGGAGCCGGATGGAGATGCTTTAAAGAAGGATGGGCAAGAGGAAAATTCCGCGGTTGATGGGTGTGGTGATGATGGGGAACGATTAGGAAAGAAGGCGAAGGAAGATGGGCAGGAGGATGAGGTGGGGAAGGGACAGTGTGAAGATGGGAGAGAGAGGGGCAACGAAGGGGGAAGGAGAGGAAGAGGGAAGGGAGCAGTGGGTGCGAGGTGGAAGAGAGATGGAGGTGGGGGAATGGACAGGGGAAGAGGGCGAGGGGGTGGGAGGGGAAGAGGGGGCAGGCAGTATGGCGGTAGGTGGGCAGCAGGCAGAGTTTCAATAAAGGAGGAGCCAGAGGAGAGTGAGATGCAGGAAAAGGGGGGTGAGGAGGATCCGCATGGGGAAGGGACAGCGCATGTGATTGCGCAGAGGAAGGATAGCCTTAATCCGAGTGCAAGTGATGCCTGTGCAGCGAGGGAGGGAGTGGAGGGTGCGGATGAAGAGAGGACGGCGAGTGGTGCAGCGGGGCAGGTCTCCGCTGCTGTGCAAGGTGCTGGGGACGGGTGCCTGGATGCTGCTGCCATGTGTCTGGAGGAAGAGGAGGCAGGAGGACGCAGGGAGGGCAGCACGAAGCAGGCAGTGGGGAGCTGCACGGGGGGTGGTGTGGATGGAGGGAAGGAGAGCGCTGGGGTGGAGGGGTGTGGAGAGGGGCAGGAGAGGCAAGGCGGGGAGGAGTGTGGAGAGCAGGGCGTGGTGAAGGGCGGGGAGCGGCACGGGGAAGGGCAAGAGAGGAGCTCTGCAGATGGTGCAACGGTGAGTCTCAACTGCGAAACATGACATGGCCGGCGCTGAATAGGCTTGTGCGTAGCATATCAACGCGCTTCTGTTTCAAGCCAACCTGTTCGCTCCGGACCGTCTTGGCCCCGCAAGTTCTTTTCCAACTTACGGTTCGACTCGGATTGGCTGTGGTTTGAGTGGAATCGGTTCGGTTCGGTTCGATTCGGTTCGGTTCGGTTCGGTTCGTTTCGGGTCGTGTCAACCACATGTAGGTTTGACGCGATTTCGATTCTCTCCGCAACTCAGGAGCTTTGTTGCGAAACCTTCTGTTTTGATTCACGCGGTTCGAGCCGGACAGTTTAAGGGGCCACAAGAGGGATCTTCAGCATGGGGACAGAGGTACATCATAGGCACGTAGTCGGACACAGCCAGAAAACCAAACCTTGTTCGAGCCGTGCCATGGCGACCCCGTTTTACACGGGTTGAGCCAGGCACAAACTCTTGCTCCCTCATGCGATTGATTAATGATTTTCCACCACAATGCACTCCTCTCAATCCCCTCCCTTCCATTTCCAACACCCCCTCCTGCCCGCCGCCTCACCCGTGCCTGCTAAACAGAAAGCCCCGTCGAGCCCACGGAGTGATGGCAGCAGGCATGCGTGCATGGCCTCTACGCCAGGGAGATCTGCAGGTGATTCTCCGGAGGAGAAGGGACCGCACGAGCAGCGGGGGGGGGATCGGGAAATCGGTCAGGGGCAGCAGCAAAAGGAGAGCACAGGAGGTGATATCAAGGGTGGAGATGAGGGGCATGTGCAGGGGCAAGAGTGTGAGGGCGGTTGCAAGGACCCCCCTGTGAAGTCCTCCTCTGGAGCGCCCGTGTGCACTGCTGCGGACCTGCTATGCCCTCCCACGCTCCCCGTATCCTCTGCTGCTGCCGCTGCTGCCTCCCATCCCTTGCGCCCCTCCCAATCCTCCCCTCCACCTTCTGCCTCACACTCCGCAGCGGTCTCTCCCGCGTCATCTCTTTCACTGGGCTGTGGAGCAGCAACAGTGGCACGCATGGGAGCTGCGGGTGGGGCAGATGCAAAGGGCGGTGAGGGAAAGAGGCTGGCAGAGGGAGCAGCGGCTGTTGGAGAAGCAGCTGATGCAACTGCTGTAGAGCTTGCTGTTATTCCTTCTGAGATGACTGCTGCTGCCGCTTCTGCTGCTACTGTTGCTGCTGCTGCTATTTCTTCTCCCGCTGCCGCTAGTGCTGCTGCAGCTGCTGCTGTTGCCGCTCCCGCTGCTGCTGCTACTGCTGCCGCTGCTGCGATTGCTTCACCCACTCATGCTGCTGCGATTGCTACTGATGCTTGTGTTGCTGAATCTTCCGCTGCTCTCGCGTCTGCTTCTGCGACTTCTTCTGTCCCTGCTGCTGCTGCCCCTGTTGCTCCTCCTCCTGCTGCCCTTATCGATCCTGCTTCTTCAACTGTTACTGCACCTGTTGTTCCGGCGGTGGATGGTGCCACTGCTGCTGTTCCTTCGGTCGATGTGATTCCTTCTGCTCCTCTCACTGCTGTTTCTTCTTCTCCTCCTCCTCCTCCTCCTCCTCCTCCTCCTCCTCCTCCTCCTCCTCCTCCTCCTCCTCCTCCTCCTCCTCCTCCTCCCCACCCTCCTCCTCCTGTTTGTCCTCCTCCTCCCCTTGCTCTACTCCCCCCCCCTGCTTCTCCTGCTCCTGCTGCATCTGGTGACGCTTCTACTGATTTCCCTACTGTTACTGCTCCTTCGCATCTCTCTGCGTCTTCGTCTCCTGCTGTTTCCGCTGGCACCTCTACCGTTGCTGCTACCACTGTTAGTACTGCTCCCACCGATGCTGTTGCTGCTGCAGCTGATGCAAGGAAGCCAGAAGCAGCCACGTGCTTACCCGACGAAGAATCAGTTGGCCCCTTGACAGGGGCAACTGAGCTGGACAAGCATGGGGAGGGCGCAATGCAGAAAGCGGATGGTGAACAAAACATCAAAGTGCCGTGCCAGGGGAGTGGTGGAGGAGAGAACGAGGGTGCAATGGAGTTGAAGGAGGAGGTGGGTGTTGATCAGAGAGTGTTGAGCACGCAGGCACGTGCTGGCATGCAGACAGGGGGGGTGACAGAAGCAGTGAAGGCAGCTGTAGGGGATAAAGATGAGCAGAGAGGGAAGGAGGATGGGGGTGGGATGGGAGGAGGAGTGGGAGGCGCGGGTGTGGATGAGGGGCGTGAGGATGGTGCGTGGGGCACGGGGATTGAGAGCAATGTGAAAGGAGGGAAGCATGCGAGTGGCGAGGTTGTGGGGAGTGGATGTGGAAGGGCAGAGGCGAGCACCGTGATTCTGGTGAGTAAGACAGGAGAGGAAGCAGAGCGGGCAGGGAAGGAAGCAAAGCGGGCAAGGGAGGAAGCAGAGCAGGCAGGGGAGGCAGAGGGGAGAGGGGAGGCAGAGGGGAGAGGGGAGGCAGAAGGGAGAGGGGAGGCAGAGGAGGGAGGGGAGGCAGAAGAAAGCTGTAAGAAACGCAGGAGATCTGAGTCGAGTCGGGCAGCAGCAGGTGGGGAGAAGGATGCAGGGTCAGACATGGTGGAGAGCGGGGCAGGAGGTGGTGGACGGACGCGCTCTCTTGCCGCAACAGGCTCCGATCCTGCAGGCTCAGGCAAGAGAGGTTCGGCAGAGGAAGGATCAGGCGGAGGTGCATGTGAGGAGCAGCAGGGTAGAGAGGGTAGCGCGTGCAGTGGAAGGCATGTGGTCGATGCGAAGGATGGTGGGGTTGCTGATGCTGCATGCACTGATAACGTGCAACTAGATAGGACTGCTGCCACCACTGCTGCCACTGCTGCTGCCACCACTGCCACCAGTGCTGCCACCGCTTCTGCTGCATTTGCCAGCGGTTCTGGTGCCACCACTAGTATTCTGGCTGCTGTCGGTGCTGGTGTTGGTGAGTTGGATTCTAATCGTATGCAGCCATCTGAAGAGGTGCAAGATACGACTCAGGGGGCCGAGGAGGTAAATAAATGTGCTAATAACGAGGCTAAGGACGTAACAAGTACAGATGAAGTGCAAAAAGGGCCAAGTGAAGAGGGAGAAAGTGCTGAGGTGAAGGTGAAGGAAGGCGAAGGGGAAGGGCTTGTCATGGTCTTCCAGCAAACTGTTACTCAGGGTTGTGCCGAGGAGGAGAGTGGGAGAAAGAGAGGCGGGAGCGGCACAGTGGGTGCATCAGCAGCAAGCGCAGATGATGCTGCGGAAGAGGAGAGGGGTGACGAGGGGTGCTGGGTGGTTGGCGAGAGCGGGGATGAGGAGGAGAAAGGCAGCCGGGAGGAGGTGGCATCGGCGCAGGTGCAAGAGCAGGAGGGCCCGAGACAGGGGAGTAAGAGGGACGGTCAAGAAGGAGCGCAAGCAGAGAGTGAAGCAGCGGAGAGCGAAGCAGCAGCAGAGACGGGTGGGACACAAAAGGCACGCAAAGGGGACGCTCCTGCTGCGCCTGCGCCTGCTGCTGGTGGAACTGTTGGTGTGCGGACAAGGGCAAGCAGGGGGGAACCGGCCGGCGAGGAGAGCAGGAGGCGGGGCAGCGGGAGAGAGGGAGGCGTGCCGCTACGGAGGAGTGCGCGGGTGGCAGATGGCATGGGCGGGTGGAAGCGAGGGTTCTGGGCGCTGGACGATGGGTGGTATGAGCGGGAGCAGCGCGAGGGGGAGAAGGCGAGGCGAGGGCGCAGCAGGGCAAGGCAGAAGACAGGAGACTCGGAGGTGAAAGCAGAGAAGGAGGATGTGGAGGGGGCTCGAGGGAAGAAGAGGAGGCGAGTGGAGAGGGCGGGATCAGGTAGTGAAGGGGGGCGCGAGATGGGTGAGAGTAAAGGTGAGAGCAAGGGTGCAGGGGCGGGTAAGGTGAGTAGGCGTGCACAGGGCAAGGGTGCTGTGGGTAAGGGCGAGGATACGAGTGCTGAACACAGTGCAGGGGAGAGAGGGTGGGATGGTGCAGAGGGTGGGGGGAAGAAGAGGGATTGGGCTGGATTGGATTCTGACAAGAGCAAAAGCATGAGTGGTGGCACGTGCAAGCGACTGAGGGTGGATGGATTGTTGAAAGGGGAGAGGGAGGGCGAGGGGGATGAAGGGGACAGGGACTCAGAGTTGCAAGGGAAGGGGAGAATGGACGGGAAGGAAAGAGATGGTGACTTTTCCCAGTACAACGAGACTATGAGTGCAGTGAAGAGGGTGGAAGGGGATAGGCGGAGTGGGAAGGAAGGCAGGAGTGCCTCTGGGAAGTCCTCTGATGGCCGTGTGGGTTGCGATGATGCGGAGGAGGGAAAACAAGCGCAGGAGGCAGAGGGGGAGCAGGAGGAGAAAGAAGAAGAGGAGGCGAGGAAGAATGGAGATAGCCAAGGGAGTGAAGATGGTGAGGAGAAGCGGGGTGGTAGTAGTGAAGCAGGAGAGGCGGGGGAAAATCCGGATGCAGATGCAGGTGCGGGCCAGGGTGGGTGTGGCGCCGGCATGTTTCCTCTTGTGTCCCCTTGCGAACCCATGTCTCTTCTGCTCTCTGCTGTGTCAGCGTTTGAAGAGATGGACTTGCAGCAAGCAGCCCTGGCTGGCATTCGCGTGGTAGAGCCCGCTGCATGCGAGGGGCGAGACAGGGAAGGGAGAGAGAGGGAAGGGAGAGGGAGGGAGGGGAGAGAGAATGCGGAGATTGAACGGGACAGTGAGGGAAAGAACAAGGAGAAGGAGGTTGAGGGCAGGACGAAGGAGGAGGAGGAGAGGGAGAAGCGTTGGAGGAAGGTTAGGATCGGGAGATATGATGGGATGGAGGAGCTGAAGGAGAGTGTGGAGGATAGGGATGGGCTAGGAGTGGTGGTGAACGGTGAGGATGGTGATGAGGACAGCAGTAGAACCATGCGCATTCCCACCACTGCTCCTGGTTCCGCTGATGCTGCCTTTGCTTCCGCTGCTGCCGCTGCTGCCGACGCCGCTGCTGCTGCTGCCACCGCCGCTGCTGCTGCGGCTGTTGCTGCAGATGCAGCAGCAGTTGCGGCCGCTGCTAGTGGCAGCATGCGGCAGAGGCAGGCGGGGAGCCAGGGGCCTGCAGGCAAGCACAGCCCACCTGGCAGCCGGGCGGAGGGGAGTGCAGGCAGGGCAGATGGGCAAAGCGGGCAGTGGAGGAGCGTGGAGGTGCAACAGCCGGAGGACGGAGAGGAGGAGAGAGATGGGGGGGAAGAGGCCGCGACCTGTGGCAGAGGGGACAGACCAGGAGGCGTAGAGGCGGCGGCAGTGGCATGTGGAGGCGCGGTCACAGTGAGAAACGAGGCAAGTCCTTGTGGAGGGGTTGCTGTTGCTGCTGTTGCTGCTGGTGCTGGTGCGACTGCTGGTGAAACTGCTGGCGAAACTGCTGGTGTCACTGCTGGCCCTGCTGCTGCCACGGGTGCAGCTGGAAGTGCTGTGTGCAGTGGCAGTGAGCGGGCAGTGCAAGCCGAGCAAGAGCCTGTGGTGGTGTGGCTCATGGGGCGACCTCTAGTCATGGGAACCCGCCCTTGCTCTCCCTCCCCTGCCTCCTCAACTCCTTGCACCACCACTCCTCCTCCTCCTTCTACTGTTGCTGCTGCTGCTGCTGCTGCTGCGGCTGCTGCTGCAGCTGCTTCTGATTCTACGTCCACACCTCCTGCGCCTGTGTATGCGCTCCCACCCAAAGCTGGCTCTGCTCGTACTACCCCACCTGCCACTGCAGCGCACGCCTCATCTTGGGCTAACGCCGATGCCCTTGCTCCCATCCGCACCAGCACCACTGCTGTCAATGCCAGTGCACCCATTGCTGCTCCTGCTGCCGCTGTGCCGGCAACCGTGGCTGTGTCGTCCCCCTCGGCTGTGCGCATGGTGTCTCCTCTCAGAGCACCTCCGCCTCTCACCCTTCGCCATATGCCTGGCGGCATGGCTGGCTGGCCGGGGGTGAGAGGGCAGCATGTGGCAGCAGCAAGCACAGCAGGAGCAGAAGCAGGTGGAGCAGTGGGGGCATTAGGAGGGTCAAGGTGTGCAGAAGCAGTACCTAACGTCCCTCTCATGCCTTCAAACCGTGCCCCAATGCCTCTGGCTCGGCCCATGCACGCCCACATGCACACACATGCACCTCCAGCACACGCGCATGCGCCTCCCTCACACTCGCGCTCGCACACCCACCAGCACCACCCTGCCTTACACCTGCCATCCCCATCCTGGTCACTGTACTCTACTCCACCAACCAGCCAGCATGAGTGGGCCCATGCAGGCCCCCCCACGGCTCAGCATGCCTCGTTCCCTCATGCCTCCCCTCTCTCCCAGCCTGCTCCCACTGCGCCACCTGCATCATCTGCACCTACCGGCACAGCTAGTTACTTCCCAGGGCAGAGCGGGGGTATGTGTTTGCAGCCGGGGAGTATGGGCAGCGCCAGTGACCCATTGCCTCCGCACTCACAAGCCCATGGGAATAATGTGGCAGCGGCCGTGGGAGCAGCAAGGACTGTAGCAGGTGCAGGTGCAGCAGTGCGAGGGGCCGCTTTAGAAGCAGTGGCAGTGGGTGCAGGAGGTGGTTGCACAACAGCAGCAGCAGTCCCCGTGCTAGGAGGCACAGCAGTGGGAGCACCTGCTGTTGCGGCTCCATATGGTGGGGAGCAAGGGTGGAGAGACAGCGGAGGAGGAAGCGGAGGAGCAGGGGAGGTGAAGGCGAGGTTTCGACCGGACGAAGTGGTTGTGCTGGATGACTCCCCGCCCTGCTCCCCCACCAACGCACATGCAGCGGCCAGGGAAGCAACAGCAGCCGGAGCTGCATGCACGAATACTGCGTCTGCTGCGGTCGCCCCCGGCAATACCTCTCTCAACCTCACACCACCGTGTGCCTCTTCCGCTCTTGCCACGCCTCCTCACCCCACTCAGCCTCCATTCAGGCAATCCCTACTCTCCCATCCTAACCTCCACCCCGGGCTCACTATTCTCCCGCTTCCCGCCTTCTCCTCTCCTGCGTTCGCTAGCCCGGATCCTCCCCATGCTTCTCCTCTCTCGCTTGCTCCCTCTATCGTGCGCCACTCCCCGCACTCTCTCCCTACCCCGTCCGCACCTGCCCGGCCCCCCTCCCTCCCAGCATCCGCACCTGCAGCTGGGTTCGGGAGAGGCAGGGGCAAGCCAGGGCAGATGGGGGAGAGGCGAGGCGCGGAAGGGCAGGCAGCAGACGGTGCTGGTTTCAGCGAGGCGCATGCAGGGGGGATGGCACGTGTGCCGACTCACTCACTGCGCAACAGCATTGGCCGGGGGCGAGGCACAAATATTCACCTTGGGGGCGTTCCACACGCGGCCGGTGCGGTTGGTGCTAGCGGTGCGAGCGATGCTGGTCCCTTGAGCCACCCCCGGTTGCACCCCCATGCGATGCACACACAGCCACTCCCAGCACCACCACGTGTTTCACCAGTGCCAACAGCAGCAGCACCTGCTCCAACAGCAGCAGCAGCGGCATTGCCACCACCACCATGTGCCTCAGGCCCAGCTCCTCCTTACCTTACAGCTACAGCTCCTGTATCAGCCCCCACACCATGGAACCCACACACCCCAATGCCAGGGCCCATGCCCTACCCCAGAGTACCAGTACCATCTCCACCGCCAGCAACAGCAGCGGCGGCAACGGCAGCAGCAGCGGGGGGTAGAAGGGGAGGAGCAGGAGCAGTGAGCAGTGATCACGGTGGTAGGCGGCGATCAGCAACCTCAGCAGGCGTGCAGGCAGCAGGCACTCTGGGCACACACAATGGCAGACCTGCTATGGCTGGCAACAATTCTTTACTGGCGTCTCACGGTCGCAACACTCATCACCCTGGGAACTTCTTCTCATCCTCTGTGGCTCGTCAGCAGCAGTTGGCTGCTTTGGTTCGTGATGTCGCGTCTGGTCAGCTGTCTGCAAATCAAATTTCCAGTGCTGTTGATTCTCTATTTTCTGAGTGACTGCCCTGTGATGTCAGTACCTAAGATTAAACGTTTGAAACATACCGGTATGTTGCAAGTCTGAGTGTATCTGCCAGATGGCATCAGTAAGACAACATTTGTCAATGAGTGTATCTGTCATGGTAGCATGTCTATTCAGCCATTTTATGCCGATTTTATGGCCCCAAATTTATAAGCGCATGTGCTTTTATTACGGCAAATATGAAATGCTGTTTGTTTTTATATATAGAATGAAAGTGCTCATTATTACGAACATGATTGTATCATCATCACGTGGGGTGGGGGCGTGCATGCCAAAAGGTCAGCAATCCGCCAGCGAAGCGGATAGCTGCCATGAGATTCATCCTCCCTGCCAGCACTGCGTAGGATGTTGCCTTGCGGCCCAATCGCAAGGCCATGCGCAGCTAGGTTGATGATTAGCATTGCACATTCTAGAACAAGGGGGAGAATTCCCCACCAGCGTAGCAGAATTCGAGCCATGCATGCTCCTCTGCAGGTTTCGGCGAAGGTTTCCCGTCGATCACCGACGAGGATTCTGATCCGAGCCGCTCTTCTCGTGGTCCATTTGTGCATCCTTTCTTGATTGTTTTCGTCATTCTCTCTACCTACCGCCTGGCTGCGGAAGCCATGGAAGCATTTCCAGGCACCCACTTTCTCCTCAGACGCCATCCCAGAGCCGCGTTTAGAGTTAGCGATGACGGCTGGTATAGCCGTGCGGCACCTGAGCCACCACGGTCACCAGCGCCACCTACACCCCCTGCCCCTCCTGCTCCTCCAGCGCCTCCCTCCCCTCCTCCTCCGAATCCGCCGGCTCCAACTGGGACGGGCAATCAACCCGTTCTCACGCTGCCGCTGCTGCCAGGCGTCTCCGCGTTCGATGAATTCGTGTCGGAACCAGACTCGATTAAGGCGCCAGATGAGTACACCGACACGCCATGATGGGGCGAGCCCGAAAACTGCCCGTGGGACGAAAGAGCAGGGCATGGAGGACGATGTTGCCGCAGACGACGACGTTGAATATTGGTCGCGCGACAGCTCACCTGAGAAACTGCCGATTCCTACCTTCCCGTCGCCTAACAAAAAGCGTACCCACCTCCCTTTTGATAATTGTGACTCCTGCCCCCTCTCTCCCAGGAACAAGCAGACTCAAAGAAAGCGACGTGCGTACACATCGCAACAAAAACTAAATTGGCTTGTGCGGCTGTAGGTCTGCGGGGTGGTGAGCCAGGTGGCGCGAGAGTCGGGCCACCGCAAGTGTCTGGGGGAGTGGAAGAAGGCCGCCGCGGTTCTAAAAAACGCGCATGCCGCACGCAAGTGTTTACACGGGCGGGGAAGATCCTCGTGGTATCGCGACATGGAGCTGATGGTCTACGCCAACCTTCTCCATTTTCGCCGCAAAGGTATCACCGTGTCTATCGGTAGACTGCATACATGCTCCCAAGAGCTGATGAAGGAGATGCATCCAGAGATGGCATGGAAGCCGTCGCAATGGTGGTCGGAGCTGTTTCGGCGACGGTGAAATTTGAGCATTCGTGCCAAAACTAAAGTTGGGCAGGAGCTTTTTGATCAATGGATTCAATTTATTGTGATGTATTTTATTTTATTTTCGAAAGTAAGCCAAAACCAATCAAAACACAGCTGATAAAACATGGCCGATAAACCATCCATGGCTCAGAATAAAACGCAGAAGAGATTAGACTTGGTCAAACGTTGAAGATATTGACATCACCAGATTCAGTTCGTAACATGGTATCAGCTTTGGGTTAGGTACTCGCTTCCACACCGCCTAGCTCCCTAGCTGCCCTGGGGCTCTCACGCCCCTCCCCTCCCTCCTTCCCCCTCCCCCCCCCCCACCCCCCCCGCCCCTCCCCCCCCCCCCCCCCAGCCCCCCTCCTTTGCACCCCCACTCCCCCCCAACCACCTCTCACGCCCTGGCGACGCCTTCCGTCATGCCGTGGACGCGGCCCCGCGGCCCCTAGTCGTGCCCTGGTCGCGCCCCGTCGTCGCGCCCTACCGCACACTTCCGCACCCCGCCGCTGTCGCGCTCACACCCGTCGCCGCCGCACATGCGCCTACCGCGCGCCCTGCCGCCGCTGCGCCTGCACCTGTCGCGCTCGCGCCTGCCGTGCTCTCGCCTACCGCGCGCCCATGCGACCTGCCGCGCGCCTGCCGCACGCCCTGTCGCGCCCTCCCGCGCCCTGCTGGCGCGCGCCCGTGCTCCCTGCTGCGCGCCTGCCGTGCCCTGCTACACGCCCTGCTGCGCTCTACCGCACCCGCTGTGCACCTGCCATTCGCCTCCCACGCGCCAAACTGCAGCCTGTTGCCACGGCTGCCGTGCGCCTACCGAGACTGTCGCCTTTGCCCGACGTCGCGCCTGCAGCCGCGGTTTAGGGTTTTCCTCTACAGTTTTCTCCTCCTCATGTGGCTGTCTCCTCTCAATTGCTGCAGTTGTGCCTCTGATTCCTCCTCTCATGGCGTACGAGTTCGTCCTGTGGCGACCGCTCCCGCTGCTGCTGTGGCGCCTGCTCCCGCTGCTGCGGCGACTGCACCCGAGGAGGCGCAGCCGACTGCTGTGGTCCCGGCCCCTGAGTCTGGGGTGGCGCCGCAACCGGTGCCACTCTAGGCACCGTCTCCTGCCCCAGCTGTTGCACCCTCACTTGCGCCTGCAGTGGCGCCCGCTCCTGTCCCTGCTGAGGCGCAGTCCCCGCTTGCGCCTGCTGTGGCGACCTCATCTGCACCTGCCGCGGCGTCAACTGGTCCGACAGGCGCGAAACCTGAGTCTGCGCCCACCGTGGCGCCACTGTCTGCGCCTGCTGTGGCGCCTTCTGCCGCCAATCCGACGTACCAGCCCCCTGCCGCCCATCCCCTCCCTTTCGTCGCGTCGGGATACTTTGTGCTGATGGGTTCTGTGATTGTTACGTCACACACCCATACCGCCCCACTGCTTTTGTCCCTAATGGTGAAGTCGGTAGTCTGCTCTTCGATTGGGCAGTAAGCAGCAGACTCGCCGTGAACAATGAAGCCCGCGTCTTGGGCCACGCATATGCAAGCATCTCGAAGCTCGTTGTGGGTGTTTATGCAATGCTTGCCTGTGCGAAAGAGGTGATTTGGCAGGCGGGGATCAGTGATAGCGGTCTGTTCCGAGCAATCGCAGTTCACCGGCGTTGAGAAGGGTAAGCCGAGCCGGAAGCGAACAGTGTTAGCAAAGTGAACAGGGCCGATGCGCCGCGTCGGCGCGATAGGGATAGCCGCCAACCAGTCCCTGGTGCCGTAACCAATCAATGAGAACATACGTTGCGTGTGTCCTGATAGCGGATTCAGCTTCATGCGCCTTGCCTCCTGTATTTGCACTGCATATCGGCTCCCATGTACCTTCAGTGCTAGCGCGTGCTGCAGCTTTATATCCGAAGGTTCTAGCCTCTCCTTCTCCAGAAGTTCGCGGGCGTCCATGGGCAGGGCTGACTCGCACTCAGAGAGCCATGCGTGCAGCGGCGAGGTGACATCACGTGGCAGGAGCATGTGGTTTCTAACTGTTGATAAGGCATCGTCCGGTGCAAGCGTCAGGGAACTGAGGAATATTGCCGCATGGGCGAAACTGGCTAGGAATCCGAAAACACCCTCTACCAAGGGGTCTGTGAGGCCGATTCCACCTAGCGACGGTGGGAGAGATGCCTGTGCCCATACGCGTGCCTTCTCTAAGTGGCAGGAGGGGACGCAAATGCCGCACGATGTGAGTAAAGTTGTCAAGAGGTCCCTGCCCCACTGGGACCACTTGTCACGTGCCATGAGGTTAAGCGGCGTCGTCCTGGTCAAGTATGCTACCCGCCGTGAGATGCGGCGTGCCAGTAGCAACGAGGCTACCTGCGGGTCTATGCGTTCCAGTAGTGGCAGCGGCTTCGCCATCTCCTCTAGTTGCTCGGCTAGGAATTTGGCAGCGCCGTCCGGTGACCCCAGGTAGCTGCCCAGGAGTCGGACCCCATTCGTGCAGAGCGGCACCCCGGGTGGCAGCATGGTAGTGTCAATATCGCCAAGGCTCTAGGCCGCACATTTCCCGGGGTTATGTGTTAGGCCCAGGCGCACGAGCTTGTCGGTGAAGAAAGAAAAGGCAGCTACAGCGGCGTTGCTTTCCCCCAAGAAAGTGACGTCATCGGCGTAAGCTAGGTACAGCACTTCGGGATGCGCAGCAGCTGTCTCGCGTAGTGCAGGGTGTATTCTGGCGGCGAAAAGTAACGGGCCAAGGGGATCCCTTGACGGACACCCCGTTCGCTCCTCAGTGGGGGGCTGCGTCCAGGTGCAGTTGCGAGGGGTTACCGTACGTCAACTTGACCAGTGGGAGCAATGGCGAAAGATTGGGCTCCTGCAGTGCGTCGATGATCGCTTGCCGCGAAACGTTGTTGAACGCGTCCGCGATGTCAGTTTGCAGTACCAGGCTGTTCGGCCGTGCGTCAGTAAGTGCCTGGGCAGCGTGTATAATTGCCTCTGCTCCACCTGGCACCGCGACCCCATACTGTAGAGGCAGGAAATATTATCGGGCAGCCTCACCCATGACCGTCAGTGCTGCTTTTGCTGCCAGGCGGGTCAGACACTCGCCTATTGCGATTGGTCGGGCGCCACCCCCCGGCTTGGCCAAGGCTATGAGGCGTGAGGCTGTCAACACGTCTGCCACGGGCTCTGTCTCTCTCTCAAATGGTCCTGATATTGATAGTCCAAGAAAGTACAAACATGCACGGTAAGGGAAAGATTAACACGCAAACTAACATGCAAGATCTAAACTAACATCATGGCCGGCCATCTAGAGCTCCACTAGGGTCTCTAGCACTGCAAAACAATCCCCAAGGTGCAACTCGGCATGTGTTCCCCCCACCGAGGGGGTTTCTGCTACTGCCGCTTGGCTAGACTTAATGAGGTAGCCCACTGAGTGGGCTCTCTGTAGGGCCACTGACCACCTCTGCCTGAACTGGTAGAGGAACTTTGCAGCCTGAAATGAGTTGGGGTCGGCATTGAAATATCGCCGAGCTGCAGTATCCGCCAGCAAATTCAGGAACACCGGCACTTCTGCACATGGGCAACCGTACGTCTCTACCGCCAAGGGGAACAAGCCCACCGTGTCAGGCCGGTTGGCATAGTGTTGGATTTTCTTATCTGCCTGCTCCCTTGCAGCCCATCCCCTGCCCTTAGTCGCATCCGGATCCCTCGTACTGATAGGAACGTGATGGTTACATCACAGATCCACACTGCCCTTGAACTTTTGTCCCTGATTGTGAGATATGCGGTCTCCTCCTCGACTGGACAGTATGCTGTAGATTCACGGTGAACGATGAAGCCTGCATCCTTCGCCATGCTGATGCAGGCATCCCGCAATTCGTTGTGGGTGTTGATCCGGTGTTTGCCTGTGCCGCGGCGGAAGAGGTGATTGGGCAATCTAGGGTCTGTGATAGCTGTGTGGTCCGAGCAGTCGCAGTTCGCCGGCGTTGAGAAAGGTAGGCCGAGCCGGAAACGAACAGCATTAGCAAAGTGCTCATGGCCGATGCGGCGTGTTGGCGCAATGGGGATGGCGTGTAGCCAGTCGCCTGTACCGTAGCAGGTAAGAGGGTACATCCGCGGCGTGTGCCCTGACAGTGGGTTCAGTCGCATGCACCTTGTCTCCCACACCTGCACGGCGTATCTGCTCCCCTGTACTCTCAAGGAGAGGGCGTGCTGCAACTTTACTCCCGACGGCTCCAGACTTTCCTTCTCAAGTAACTCTAAGGCGTCTGCGGGCAAGGCTACTGTCAAGAACTAATGAGCGTAAGAATTGACTAAGGAAAAACAAGGTACAACAAGATATAGCAAACCCTAAGAAATAGGAAATGTTACACCTAGACTAACATAAACTAAACATATAAAATATATGTTGACACACCCCCATAGTCTAGGTGACGGTAGTCCTGTGGAAAGCAACACATATCTCAGGGTGAGTCTCAAGGACACACACAGTCTGAGAGCAAACAAGGGTCACATGACCAGTCAGCAAGAACAAGCAAGGGTCACAAGACCAGTCCACAAGAACAAGACAAATCTCAGGGTGGAGCTCAAAGTCACCACACACTCCGAGAACAAGCAAGGGGCCACAAGGCCAGTCCACATACATGTATATAGCAAATATAAGGAGATGCAAGAGTACAAGGCAAGCAGGACAAAGCATCTCTACGTAAGCAAGTGAGGACGGGCAGGCACAAGGCCAAGCTGGGTGCAGAAACGCTGGTGGTCACAAGGTGAAGATATCTGTAGTGTTGGCCTCAGAGACCACACGTCGAACGAGTGCATGGCCACGCTGCTGCAGCTCACACAGAAGGAAGTAACGAAGCTGGATGTGCTTCGCCTTCCCAACCAGTCGGGGCTCCTCACACAACATGACAGCAGACCTGTTGTCGGCGAACAAGACTGGGGGAGAGCGAGGCCGCTCACCAAGGTCGGTGAGGAGGAAAGACAGCCAGCGAAGCTCCTGGGCGGCCATGGCCGCAGCGTACACCTCTGCCTCACAGCTGGAACCGGAGACGGACGACGCCCGAGTCGACCGCCGCGAAACAGCACCTGTCTCGAGGCTAAAGGAGTACCCCTGTGTAGATCGACGCGTCTCCGCGTCGTCGGCCCACGACGAGTCCGAGAAACCTGTGAGTGTAACTGGCTGCTTCCCTCCAAGGACAAGTCCCATGCCTGATGTACTCACCACATACTTCGCCACTCTCTTAGCAGCGTACCAGTGCGGCGGACGGTGTCTCCCAGGCGCAACAAAACGCGCAAGGACGCTAAGAGGGTAAGCTAGGTCTGGGCGAGTACAGGTCATCAGGTACATGAGACAACCCACCAGCTCAGGATATGGACCACTGGACTCAAATGACTCGTCCGAAGGTGGAGCCGTGAGCCCATGATCAACAGCAAGAGGGGTGAGCTGTACCTTGGAGAACGGGAAGTGAAACCGCGTGAGGATCTGCTCGACCATATGCGACTGAGTCAGCGTAATGGTGCGAGCTGCCCTGTCCCTGGTGATCTGCAGGCCAAGGTAGTGCTGCAGCTCACCAAGGTCAGTGCAAGTGTGTCTCCTCTGCAGTTCCTCCTTCACGGAGGCCAGCGCGCGTCGGTCGGGAGTGGCGAAGACCAGGTCGTCAACGTAGACCAGGACAAATAACGGGGTCGAGCTACGGCAGACGAACAGCAACGGGTCGGCAGACGAACAGCAACGGGTCGGCAGACGACGGAAAGAAGTCAAGCGCTGCAAGGGTCGAGCGAAGTGTGTCGTGCCACTCACGTGGAGCCTGGTGCAGGCCGTAGACTGGTCGACACAGCTGCCACTGGGTCCCAGGTGGGATAGAGCCAGTGAAGCCAGGCGGGCGACGAAGCCAGATCTGCTCGTGCAGGCTCCCCTGAAAGAACGAAGTCGAAAAGTCCAAGGAGTGCAACTCGTGGTCGCGCTGGGATGCAATATGCAGCAACACCCGAAGAGTAGTCATCTTCGAGGTGGGAGCGAAGGTCTGGAAGAAGTCTACCCCCTCGCGCTGACTCTCGCGACATAGCGCGCCTTGAACACTAGTGGTGATCCAGGCGGCCACTTCACCTTGTAGAGCCATCGGCCACTGACGACGT